AAAAATTATAAAAAAGGGAGAAGAAAGCTAAGGGACTTATGGGATACCATCAATGGACCAATATATACATTATGAGAATTTCAGAAGAAGAAAGAAAAAAAGGGCAGAAAGATTATCTAGAAAAATAACGGCCAGAAATGTCCCAAATCTAGGGAAAGATTCAGACATATTTAAATCCAAATAATTTCCAAATAAGATAAACTAAATGCACTATCAACAATAGCCAAAATTGGGGCACTTGGGTGGCTCAGTCGGCTCAGCCTCCAACTTCGGCTCAGGTCATGATCTCACAGTTCGTGGGTTCAAGCCCCATGTGGGGCTCTGTGCTGACAGCTAACTCAAAGCCTGGAACCTGCTTCTGATTCTGTGTCTCCCTCTCTCTCTGACCCTCCCCTGCTCATGCTGTCTCTCTCTCTCTCTCTCGGAAATAAATAAAACATTAAAAAATTAAAAAAAAAAACAACCCAATAGCCAAAGTATGGAAAGAGCCCAAATATCCACTGATGGAGGAATGGATAAAGAAGATGTGGTGTGTGTATATATATATATTACTCGGCAACGAAAAAGAATGTAGGGCTTTATATAGTGGAGTTACGTAACACACAATCTTTAGACACATTTCTTTTTTTATGTCTTAATATCCCTAGAAATCGGAACGTATCTTAGAAATTGGTGATGTTTAAACAATTCATAGCAGTGTTTTCTCTATCTTATGGTTTTATAGAAACTAATGGGGTGTCTTACAATCAGTGTCACCTCTAATTTGATGAATTATTTATATATAAATGAAGCAAATACGGCAAAAAAGAAATGAAATCTTATCATTTGCAACTACATGGATGGAACTAGAGGGTATTATGCTAAGCGAAATTAGTCAGTCATTGAAAGACAAGTATCACATGACTTCACTCATATGAGGACTTGAAGATACAAAACAGATGACCATAAGGGAAGGGAAGCAAAAATAATATAAAAACAGGGAGGGGAACAAAACATAAGAGACCCTTAAATATGGAGAACAAACATAGGGTTACTGGAGAGGTTGTGGGAGGGGGTATGGGCTAAATGAGTAAAGGGCATTAGGAATTCTACTCCTGAAATCCTTGTTGCACTGTATGCTAACCAACCTGCATGTACCTTTAAAAAAAAATAAATTAAAAAAAAAGATGATCTAAATGAAGTCCACACCAAGCATAATCAAATGGTCAAAAGTCAAATACAAGGAGAAAATGTAGAAAGCAGAAACAAAAAAAAATTTTTTCACATACAAGGGGACCTCCATAACAGTATCAGTAGATTTCTAGCAAGAACATCACAAGACAGAAAGGAGTGAGATCATACATTCAAAGTACTGAAAGAAAAAAACAAAAACTTCCAACCAAGAATACTAAACACACAAAAACTGTCCTTTAAACATTAAGAAGAGATACTCCCCTAAAAAACAAACCTGAGGAAGTGCATCAACAAGATACCTTCCTTACAAGAAATGCTAAAGGGAGTCCTTCAAATTGAAATTGAAAGATGCTAGAGAGCAACATGAAAGCATATGAAGATATAAAGCTCACTAGCAAAAGTAAGTGTATAGACAAGTACAGAACACTGTAATACTGTTAACGGTACATAAACAACTTTAAATTCTGGTATAGAAATTAAAAGACAAACTAAGTTTTAAAAACTATAACTATAAAATATATTAATGGACACACAATATAAAAAGATGTAAGATACAGTATCAGCAACAAAGTGTGAAAGGGAGAGGTAAAATAGTGGAGTTTTTGTGTAAAGTTAAACTTAAGCTGATATCAGCTTAAAATAGATTGTTTTACAGAAAATCCATGGTAACCCAAGAAAATGCTTATGGAAGATACACAAAAGAAAATGAGAAAGAAATCAAAGCATGTCACCACAAAAATAAATCAATAAAACATAGCAAGAGAGAATAAAAGAGACAAAAGAGCTATAAGACATAAATAAATTTCCTAAAATGGTGATAGTAGGGGCACCTAGGTGGCTTAGTCGGTTAAGTGTCCAACTTCAGCTCAGGTCATGCACTCACTGCTCATGAGTTCAAGCCCCACATCAGGTTCTGTGCTGACAGCTTAGAGCCTGGAGCCTGCTTCCAATTCTGTCTCTGTCTTTCTGCCCCTCCGCCGCCCAAGCTGTCTTTCTCTCTCAAATATAAAGAAACATAAATTTTTAAACATTTTGTTAAGAAGGTAGAATTCATATGTTTTTATTATAATAGAAACAAAAGGATATATGCTCTGAAGTATTCACAAAACAAAAAAGAATCAGTTTTATCTGCATCCTCCATCAACCTCAGCTCAGAAGCTCTAGGCAGCTCTGGGTTGTCCTCAGGACATCATTTTCTCAGAGTCTCCTTGTGAGCATTTAAAAAAAAAAAAAACTATTGGGGCGCCTGGGTGGCTTAGTCGGTTAAGCGTCGACTTTCGCTTAGGTCATGATCTCGTGGTTCGTGGGTTCAAGCCCCGCGTCGGGCTCTGTGCTGACTGCCAGCTCAGAGCCTGGAGCCTGTTTCAGTCTGTGTCTCCCTCTCTCTCTGACCCTTCCCTGCTCACGCTGTCTCTCTCTCTCTCTCTCCTAGAAATTAAAAAAAAAAAAAAAAACAAAAAACTATTGATTTTATAATTCATATTGACCACACACATATGAAGGGTAAGACATTTGTAGAACCCAAGGTTCCCAAGCACAGGGCCCAATTCAGCCCTTTTGTGTGTGGTAGGTTGAAAAACTGGACACAAGATTCCGGCTCTTCACAACTTTGAGATGTGACCACAGCACCTACCATTGGGAGACGGTGTCCATTTCCTTAAGGGGGTCAACTCCATGACTTGCCTTGGCTGATAGCTGCAGTGGATATGATGTGCTCACTTGAACCCTCTGCTTCCTAGGCCCTTACCACCACCATATGGACAGGCCTGCCCTGGCCCTCTGAAGGGGCCATCCCGGACCAGCGAGCCCTCCAGCTGACCTGGCAGTTGACTGAAAACACTTAAGTGAGCCCAGCGGACGTCAGTCTGGCCCAAATCAACTGAGCCCAGCCCAAACTATCGACCTACAGAATCATGAGCCTAAAAAGTAGTGGTGTTTTAAGCCACTATGTTTCGGGATGCTTTGATACACTTCAAAAATTAACTGGTACCGTATGTACCCTCAATTCTCATGATCTCATAGCTGCTCTTCTGAATCAAACCCTCCCCAAACCTCCCTCGGGTGGATGGCATGCGACTCTTTCTCAACTACTATTTACACGAAGCTTTTAAAAAATAATATCATTAAAATAAAGGAGAGGCCTGTCGTCAGGATGACTTGGCATTACTGCATTCAGCCTCAGGTGGACTTTTCAGTTGGGTCAGACAGCAGCTGCATTCTTGGCCCACCCCAGAGTGCAGATGTTCACCTCGTCCCCGTTTTCCCCTCAGAGGTCTTGGAAACATGGAAGTCTTCCCTGGTATTCGGAGGGACTAGAGTTCACACGTCCTTTCCACCCTGGGTCCCTTTCCCTCATCAGTGCGCTCCTCTGACCAGCAGTGCTCACTCTACAGCCCTACCGAAGGAACCAAAATGCAGAGGGCAGGCCAGCGTTTCTCTGACATTCTCCCGCGCACCTTATCAATAACACAGCTTTCCTTAATTTCACATGTGGAGTTTTCTCTGCTCGAGTGAGCTCCACAGAGTTTCCTCCGCACCTTCTTCAAGCACAAGAATCCTCTCCCCACATGTGGTTCTGCCTTCCCAACACCCACTTCCCCTGCCTCTGGGAACAGCACTGACGCTTTCCAAGGAAACAACTTTCCCCTCTCTTCCCAGAGATGTGGGTTGACTGTAGTCCTTTCAACTCGGGAGGCCAGAGGTGGGCACGTGGCCCAGCTTTGGCCAATCAGAGGAGGCCTCCTCCTGGCCAGCGGCTGGTTCTTATTGGACACGTGACTCCACCAGCACCAATCAAATTCAAGTCGAGGACTTCTGTGGAGATGGCCAGGAGACCAACCACCTTTTCCCTGGGAATGCTGATAACACAAGAAATTGGAACAGAGCCACTGTGCAGCCATCGCATCACTATGAGGAGGAATCTTGCCCCAAAGATGAAGCAACAGACAGTGACATTGTTAATGATGTAATTTGAGTCTTTGGAGGAATGAGCCCTGCCTAAAGACAGCTACCATGGAACTTTTGACTTGTTTGTTCTTTTTTGTCATACCAGAATGAACTAAGTTGCTGCTGCTTGCAAACAAAGATGTTCTACCATGTCCCACATCCTCACCTTTATACAAATGAGAACTTACTGCCGTTAAATGGAAAGCAGGGCAATACACATGAGGTTGGAGAATGGGTAACCTACACTCTGGTGATCTCTAGCTGCCCATTCCCTTTCCCCACACCCCTTGGCTTTCCCTGGAGGGGGGGTAGGGCTTGTAGCAGTTTTAAAACAGAGCCACACATTCTTGGATCCTCCTCCCACTGAGGCCTGGGTCTCAGTGCCCAGCTCTTGGCCTCAAATCTGGTCAGGTGTGTGACTGCCAAAAACAATCAGGCCAGTGGCAGTGATGCCTTGTACCCTTCCAGGCTGGGCCCACATCTGCCTTGTTTGCTGGCACCAGTACTCTCAGAGCCACAAGCCACCAGCTACAAGTCCAAATCCCAAAGCAGGTACTCTGAGGCCTCAACACATAGGTACCTGGTTGGCAGTACCACCTCCGCGGCTGCCAGCCCTCCAGGCCCCAGCACCAGGCATGCTGGAGGGAGATGAGCTTGAAGGAAGATATCTCTTCCTGGCTTTTCCAGCTCCCACCAGCCCATGGACCCCCTTCCCCTCAAGGTGGTTCCCCAAGGCCTGCATATCCAGGTCTTTTCTGAATCCCTGACCTGAATGATCCAAAGCATAACAAATGATGGTCGTTTGCTGCTACTCAGTCTTGGTGTTGCTTGTGACACGGCCATTGACACCTAGGACCGGACCTCTCTAATCCCAGCCTTACCTCACAACATCCACCGATGCAGCCCCTGACTTGAAGAAATCGGTGGAGTCTTCCACCTCTAGGACACTGGGGAGAATCCGCTTCCAAGCGCTCTGAAAAACAGGCACGGTGAGAACAGGGCTCCCTGGGGAGCTGGGAGCAGATGCCGTCTGGGTGACAGCAGCCCCTGTTTGCCAGGCTGAGCTCTCTGTCCACTCCACAGTGCTGCTGCTCCCGGGCTCCTGGAGGGACTGTGTCCTTGGGGAAGCAGGAGCCCAGCGAGCTCAGCTGTCTTCATGCCCACCTCACTTTGACTCCAGCTCCTTTGGGATCCCCACACCATCTCAGGGAAGCAGGAAGACCGCACTTGCAGAGCTCGAGGCGTGGCTGTGCACCAGCCTCTCCCAAGCCCCCTCACACCCAGCCTTGCCTTGGTGCTGTCATCCGGGTGAGGTTCCCAGAGTGACACTGGTGTCTGGGTGTGTTACAGTGTGGGACGGAAAGCAAAAGGGTGGGAGTTTGGGGGGTAAAAACAAGGCACGTTGATGGCGCTCAGGAGGCCTGAGTCTTTTCCTCATTGACAGGCCAGCTGGCTCTCTGCCCGTCTGTCCCAGGGCCTGCAAAGGGCAGTGGTGCCCGCCAGCCAGCCTTGTGGATGAGGGTGGAAAGGCCAGTGTGAGTGGGCAGCACCGCCCAGGATTCCAAGAAGGCTGTCCAGTGGGTCCGGATGGGACAGCTGTTCCCTGGGTGGGCTCCCAGTCAGGCCAGGGAGGAGAGGAGCCCCAAGATGCCTCACACTCTGAGCTTCAGACAGTGTTTGGCTGGTCACTGGGCCAGATGGAAGCGGTCAGGCCCAATTAGGACCGGCCCAAACTCTCTCCCTGGCTCCTTCTTTTATTCTTCAAAGGGCATCCTGGGCTTGCTCATCCCATCCTCGTTGTGACCATCAGCAGCCATACTAAGCCATTCCCTGTCCCTTGACTACTGCCTGTCCCCCACGCCTTCAGGCCTTTGCCTACCAGTGATGTCCTTCCTGGACCTCCAGCTCATGTCACATCCTGAGCATCCTCCAGGACCAACATCCTTGTCCCCTTTTCCCTGAGCCCCTTCACTGACTGCTCTGCCTGCTCTTCAGACTCAAGTGGCCTGGGGCCACCGGTCACCTGCTGGTATGTGGGCATACCACCACCTGGTGCCTACTAGATGCACTGGCCCTTGTCAGATGCGTGTGGAGCCTCTGAAAGGTAGTGCCCTAAAGCTGCACGCCCTGCTCAGATCCTAGCTTGGCTCCTAACAGGCCTTGGAGATGCAGAGAGCCTTTTGCTGCCTCCGTTTCCTTGTCTGTGAAAGGAGCTGATAATGGCTGTGGGGGGTTCCTCATGTGAGGCATGCAGAGTACCTAACGCACAGAAGGAGCACAGCAATGCAACATTTGTGCCACCTGCAGTGCCCTGCGTGGCCTCAGCTCAGAAGGGCGTGAGGCTGGGCTCATTGCCCACGGCCTGCCCCAGCCCGTGGTGCTCTTGGTGAGTTCTGCTGAATGGAGAGCACAGCTGACGCCCGCTGACAATGCATTCTGAAACGGCCAGCCCAACTGGGGCCAACAGCTGTAATAATACTGATGCCAAGGATGACCAAGAGGCCACGTGGCATAGCAGCTCAGTGGTGGAGGCCAGGGCTGCAGCCCCACCGGCTGGGCTCCAAGCCCAGGCCTGCGCTAATCTGTTGTGACCCCACCTTGGGCCTCAGGCTCCTTGGCTGGGAAATGAAGGTAATAAAAGCACCTACTTCATAGAGTTGTTATAGTAATGAAACACGCTACTGTTCCTGAAGTGTTTGGAACACTGCTGCACAGTGTACACACTTTGCAAGCATGTGCTTCTTTTGATGACCCGTAGGCTCCCTGCCCATGTTTTCTGAAGTCCTCGTAGGTGCTGCTGAACTGATCCTCTCCGTGTGTTCTCTCTTCTACCACCCACAACACCCAAGGACGTGTGGTGTATTCTTCCAGTACACAGGAGAAGGACACAGTCACAGCAGCTTCTGACGCAAGCCTAGATCTACACACACACACAACCACAGCCCACCCCAAGGGCCACTCAGCTGTAAGCCCCGGAAGGCCAGTTTGTCCAGCTGGCCGTGTAACCCCAGGGAAAGCATAGGGGTGGGGCCAGAGCAGATGCTCCAAGAATATTTTTGAATAAATAGGCTTCGATCTCTCTCTCTCTCTCTCTCTCTCTTTCTCCTCTCTCTCTCTTTCTCCTCTCTCTCTCTTTCTCCTCTCTCTCTCTCTCTTTTACAGACATTCAGAAAGTTTAGCTTTCCACTAAGGAAGTGCTTGGTGCCCTCTGGAGAAGAGCAAGCTCCTCGTATCCCTTCCATGCTGAGTTTTGTCCTTAGCACTTGTCATCAACAGCCACAGTCACCACTGTGGCTGCCGACTGGTCCGTCCATGTCCTCTGCTCCAGTCCTCCTCCCCCCAGAACTCTCTCCACTCAGGTCTCAGGTCAAACCTTCCTCTTCTCCTGCCCAGGGAAGCCTGCCATGGTTATTCCTTCTAAAGTGGTCCCCCAGCCTCAAAGGACCTTGTTCCCGTCACCCTGTTATTTCACTCTTGGCCTGAAATCATTTTCATTTGTTTGGCTGTTCGTTGGCTGTTTTCTCCATGGAAAGAGACACTTCATAAGTGAATAGCTTAGCACTTGGCATTTGACAGGAGCTCATATGTATATCTTAAATAAGTCATTGGTTGCATAACCGAGTGAATGAACGGCTACAAATTCACCCAAAGCCTTCCTTCATAAAAGCTAAATACCACCAATACTATGCCTTTCAGGGAGAGGGAGATGGGCAGAGGGAGCAGAAGGGACCAGGAACAAGTCTGGGAGGTGACCACTGACTGGGCTGGAAGTGGAAGGGACTGAGTCTCAGGGAGTGAAGTGCTCTCCTGCACCATCCACGGCGGCTGGACCGGAGTCCAGGTCTGCCTGACTATGACACCCGTGATGGTCACAGTGCAGGAGTCTCCCTCTCAGGGGGCTTTTCTGGAAGGGTCCACTGCACACATTCTCGTCAAAGGGCCATGGACTTGGCACCAGCCTTTTCCACCTATTCCAGGGGCTTCTGCTTCATTTGTCCACTGTAGACAATGAGTCCTTAGAAGAGTCAGACCCAGCTGGCCGAATCCCAGTGTCCCCAGTGACAGAGGAAAAGAGCAAGGGGGCATCGGAAAACCCCAAGACAGGATAAAACCAACACTGTGCCCGGGGTCAACACATACATCCACACAGGGTATCACACCCAACTCCAGGGAGTGGTGTGAGTCAAAAACCACAGGTGCAGTGGACAACCGGCACAACCAGACAGAATCCCTGAAGGTGGGGGGGGGGGGGGGGGCTCTCACCCTCACAGTCTCTGCCATGGCCAGTTCTGTCTCTGTCAGTTCAAGGACACTGCTGTCTGCTCCCCCGAAGAAGCATGAGGCCGGGATCGTCCTGCCGTCCTCCAGCTGGATGTTCTTCACCAGCAGCTGCAAAAAGAAGGCTTCACAGTACCTGCGGTTGTCTACACGGCAGGGGAGAGAGCAATTCCACACAGACCACGGTGCTGGGCTCCCCACTCGCTTTGTCTCTGACCCTCACCACAAGAAAGGCACAAGATTAATGAGGAGGGACATTCACAGTGGAGATGCTGCTATTCTAGGAACACAGAGAAAACTGTAGAGCTCACTTTTCTCTTGTCACCAACCCCCTTCCAAGCTTTCATTTCTTTTTAAGTGTAATTACTTTATTATTTCTATAAAAATGCCTACTTGTTAGACAAAAGTAATTCAAGCACTACTTTGAAAGTGAATCAAGAAAACACCTAGGGGCACCGGGGTGTCTCAAGTCAGTTAAGCATCTGACTCCAGCTCAGGTCATGATCTCAGGGTTTGTGAATCTGAGCCCCACACTGGGCTCTGGGCTACCAGCTTAGAGCCTGAACCTTGCTTCAGATTCTGTGTCTCCCTCTCTCTCGGCCCCTCCCTTGCTTGTGCTCTGTCTCTCTCTCAAAAATAAATAAGCATTAAAAATAATAACAACAACTAATCACCCAGTAACCCAGCTCCTAGAAACCCCACGGCAAGTTATGGTGAAGTTCATCAGAGGCCATCTGGGCGTGGGGGGCGGGGGCAGAGAAGGGAAAAAGAGCAGACAGGGATGTCTATATTTGACAAGAGTGGATTATAAGAACGGTACACTCTATATATGCCCTGACATAACCAAAGCAAGATTCTCTGCCTGGCCTCTACTCTCTTGCCTTTTGAAGATATTCTGGAGGGAAATGCCAAGGTCAGGGGGCACATGCGGTGCAACTTCACCTCTAGCTTGGAAGCTGAAGTGAAAGTTCTCAAATAAGGTTGACAGAACCCCATTCTGGAAAGCATCTTTGTCCCAATAGGCCTGGAGACTCTCTTCCCATGCTGAGGGACACTGGTGCTGACAGGAAGAACTGGAGAAATGGACCCAGTCAACAGGCTACCAAAAGAAACAAGCCAAAGGACACATGGTGGAGAGCCCCAAAAATCACTACAAGTAGGGAAATAAAATAACCAAAGGCACAACAAGAAAGACCAAGGGACACCATTAAAAGAATACTTCTTGAATGGACAGGCCGTGGACAGTAAAAGAGCCTCTTTTAATATAGCAGTACTCACAGGTGCAGAGCGCGTAACAAGCTTTTTTTTTTTTTTTCTTTCCATAACAAGCTTTTAAAACTGACAAGAGACTGAAAGCTAGCCAAAATGATGAAAGGGAAGAACTCTCCACTAAGGAAATTACAGGAAGAAGTGACAGCTAAAGAATTCATTAAAACAGATATAAGCAACATAACTGACCAAGAATTTAGAACAATAGCCATAAAATTAATCGCTGGGCTTGAAAAAGGCATGGAAGACATCAGAGAAGCTAGACTGCGGACCTTAAAAACAGTTGTGATGAATTAAAAAATGCTATAAATGAGGTACATAATAAAATGGTGGTGACCAATGCATGTATTGAAGAGGTAGAGAGGAGAATATGTGAACTAGAAGACACAATTATAGAATAAAGGAAGCCGAGAAAAAGAGAGATAAATTGATCCAGGGCACGAAAGGAGAATTCAAGAGCTGAGTGATGCAATCAAATGGAACAATATCCCTATCATAGGAATTCCATAAGAAGAAGAGACAGAAAAAGGAGCTGAAGGCGTACTTGAACAAATTATAGCTGAGAACTTCCCCAATCTGGGGAAGGAAACAGACACTGAAATTCAAGAGGCACAGAGAGCTCTCCTCAGTGTAACTTGAATCAATCTTCTGCACAACATATCATCGTGAAACTGGAAAATGTAAGGATAAAGAGAATTCTGAAAGCAGCTAGGGATAAAAGGGCCCTAACATACAAAGGAAGACATATCAGGGTAGCTATAGACCTATCTACTGAAACTTGCCAGGCCGGAAAGGAATGGCAGCAAAGCTTCAATGGGATGGACAGGAAAAATATGCAGCCAAGAATTCTTTACCCAGCAAGCCTATCATTCAGAATAGAAGGAGAGATAAAGGTTTCCCCAAACAAACAAAAATCAAAGGAATTCATCACCACTAAAGCAGCCCTACAAGGAATCCTAAGCGGGACTCTATAAGGGAAATGTTGCAAGGAACACAAAGTACCAGAGGACAACACTACAAGCATGAATCCTACAGAGAATATAAATTCTCTAAAGCCGTATTTTTCAATAATAGCACTGCATTCAAATGGACTAAATGCTCCAATCATAAGACACAGGTATCAGAATGGATACAAAAAACAGGATCCATCTATTTGCTGTCTACAAGAGACTTATTTTTGACCTGAGGACACCTTCAGATTGAAAGTGAAGGGATAATGCCTTAAACTTATGAGTAATGAAAGTGAAGGGATAGAGAAATATCTATTATGCTACTGGAAATCAAAAGAAAGCAGGAGTAGCCATACTTATATCAGACAAACTGGACTTTAAAGTTAAGGCAGTAATAAGAGATGAAGAAGGGCATTATAGAATAATTACAGGGTCTATCCATCAGGAAGAGCTAACATTATAAATGTCTATGCACCAAATTCGGTAGCACCCAAATACATAAAACAACCACAAACATAAGCAATCTTATTGGTAAGAATGTGCTAATTGCAGGGGACTTTAACACTCCACTTACAGCAATGGATAGATCAACCAGACAGAAAATCAATACAGAAACAGTGGGCCTGAACAGCACATTGGACCAGGTGCGTTTGACAGATATATTCAGAGCTCTACAGGGGCGCCTGGGTGGCTCAGTTGGTTAAGCGTCCAACTTTAGCTCAGGTCATGATCTGACAGTTCATGGGTTCAAGCCCCACTTCGGGCTCTGTGCTGACAGCTAGCTCAGAGCCTGGAGCCTGTCTTCTGATTCTGTAACTCCCTCACTCTCTGACCCTCCCCTGCTCACGCTGTCTCTATCTCTCTCTCAAAAATACATAAAACATTAACAAAACTTTTTAAAGAACTCTACATAATGAGGCTACGGAATTCACTTTTATCTCAAGTACACATGGTACATTCTCAAAGACAGACTACATACTGGGTCATAAAGCAGCCTTCAATAACTATAAAAGAATTGAGATCATACCATGCACACTTTCAGATCACAATGCTATGAGACTTGAAATCGACCACAGGAAAAAGTCTGGAAAACCTACAAAAACATGGAGGTTAAAGAATACTCTACTAAAGAACAAATGGGCCAATCAGGCAATTAGAGAAGGAATTTTAAAAAAATATGGAAACAAATGAAAGTGAAAATACAACAACCCAAACTCTTTGGGACGCAGGAAAGGCAGTCCTAAGAGGAAAATACATTGCAATCCAGGCCTGTTTCAAGAAACTAGAAAAAGCGCCAATACAAAATCTAAGAGTGCATCTAAAGGAACCAGAAGCAGAGCAGCAAGAAAACCCCAAACCCAGTAGAAGAAGAGAAATAATAAAGATCAGGGGAGAAATAAATAATATAGAATTAAAAAAAAAAAAAAACAGTTGAACAGATCAATGAAACCAAGAGTTGGTTTTTTGAAAAAATAAACAAAATAGATAAACCTCTCACCAGGCTTCTCAAAAAGAAAAGAGAGCACTCAAATAGACAAACTCATGAGTGAAAATGGGCTTATTATAACCAATCCCTCAGAAATACAAGCAATTATCAGGAAATACTATGAAAAATTATATGCCAACAAACTAAACAACCTAGAAGAAATGGACAAATTCCTAAACAGACACTCACTACCAAAATTCAATTAGGAAGAGAGAGAAAATCTGAAGAGACCCATTACTAGTGAAGAAATTGAATCAGTTATGAAAGATCTCCCAACAAATAAGAGCCCTGGGCCAGATGGCTTCCCTGGGGAATTCTACCAGACATTTAAAACAGAATTAATCCCAATTCTTCTGAAACGATTCCAAAAAATAGAAATCGAAGGAAAACTTCTGGACTCATTTTATGAAGCCAGCATCACTTTGATTCCCAAACCAAACAGAGACCCAGCAAAAAAGAGAACTACAGGCCAATATCCTTGATGAATGTGGATGCAAAAATCCTCAACAAGATACTTGCAAATTGAATGCAACAGCACATAAAAAGAATTATCCATGGGGTATCCCATGGGATATCCATGGGATAAAGAATTATCCCACCATGATCAAGTGGGATTCATTCCTGGGTTACAGGGCTGGTTCAATATTCACAAATCAATCAATGTGATACATCACATTAACCAAAGAAAAGATAAAAACCATGTGATCCTGATGATAGATGCAGAAAAAGCATTTGACAAGATACAGCATCTTTTCTTAATAAAGACCCTCGAGAAAGTCGGGATAGAAAGAACTTACTTAAACATCATAAAAGCCATTTATGAAAAGCCTGCAGCTAATATCATCAATGGGGAAAATCTGAGTGCTTTCCCCGTGAGATCAGGAACATGACAGGGATGTCCACTCTCACCAGTGTTGTTTAACATAGTGCTGGAAGTCCGAGCGTCAGCCATCAGACAACAAAAGGAAATAAAAGGTATCAGAATTGGCAAAGGTGAAGTCAAACTTTCACTTTTCCCAGATGACATGATACTGTACGCAGAAAACCCAACAGACTCCACCAAAAGTCTCCTAGAACTGATCCATGAATTCGGCAAAGTCGCAGGGTACAAAATCAATGCACAGAAATCGGTGGCAGGGGTGCCAGGGTGGCTCAGTCAGTTACGCGTCCGACTTTGGCTCAGGTCATGATCTCACGGTTCGTGGGTTCGAGCCCCATGTCGGGCCCTGTGCTGACAGCTCAGAACCTAGGGACTGCCTCAGATTCTGTATCTCCCCTTCTCTCTGACCCTCTCTTGCTCTCTCTCTCTGTCTCAGAAATAAATGACACATTAAAAAATTTAAAAAAAGAAATCTGTTGCATTTTTATACACAAATAATGAAGCAACAGAAAGAGAAATCAAGAAACTATCCCATTCACAATTGCACAAAAAACCATAAAATACTTACGAATAAATCTAACCAAAGATACAAGAGATCTGTAGGATGAAAACTATAGAAAACTTATGAAGGAAATTGAAGAAGACACAAAGAAATGGAAAAACATCCCATGCTCATGGATTGGAAGAATAAATATTATTAAAATGTCATTACTACCCAAAGCAATCTACACATTCAATGCAATCTCAATCAAAATTGCACCAGCATTCTTCTCAAAGCTAGAACAAGCAATCCTAAAATTTGTATGGAACCACACAAGACCCCGAAAAGCCATAGTAGTATTGAAGAAGAAAACCAAAGCAGGAGGCATCACAATCTCAGACTTTAGCCTCTACTACAAGGCTGTCATCAAGACAGTATGGTATTGGCACAAAAACAGACACATAGACCAAGGGAATAGAATAGAGAACTCAGAATTGGACCCACAAATGTATGGCCAACTAATCTTTGACAAAGCAGGAAAGAGTATCCAATGGAAAAAAGACAGCCTCTTCAACAGATGGGGCTGGGAGAACTGGACAGCAACATGCAGAAGAATGAAACTAGATCATTTTCTCACACCATGCACAAAAATAAACTCCAAATGGATAAAGAACCTGAACGTGAGACAGGAACCCATCAAAACCCTAGAGGAGAAAGCAGGAAACAACCTCCTTGATCTCCACCACAGCGATTTCTTACTTGACACATCCCAAAGGCAAAGGAATCAAGAGCAAAAATAAACTATTGGAGCCTTATCAAGATAAAAAGCTTCTGCATGGAAAAGGAAGCAATCAATAAAAATAATAGGCAACTGACGGAATGGGAAGAGATAGTTGCAAATGGCATTGGATAAAGAGCCAGTATCCAAAATCTATAAGGAACTTACCAAACTCCACACCCGAAAAACAAATAATCCAGTGAAGAAATGGGCAGAAGACATGAACAGACACTTCTCCAAAGAGGACATCCAGATGGCCAACAGACACATGAAACGATGCCCAGCGTCCCTCCTCATCAGGGAAATAGAAATCAAAACCACACTGAGATTCCACCTCATGCTGGTCAGAGTGGCTAAAATGAACAAATCAGTTTACTTTAGATGCTGGTGAGGATGTGGTGAAACTGGCACCCTCCTACTCTGTTGGTGGGAATGTAAACTGGTGCAGCCCCTCTGGAAAACAGTGTGGAGGTTCCTCAAAAAATTAACAATAGAACTCCCCTAGGACCCAGCAATAGCACTGCTAGGCATTTACCCAAGGGACACAGGAGTGCTGATGCATAGGGGCCCATGGACCCCAATGTTCATAGCAGCACTCTCCACAACAGCCAAATCATGGAAAGAGCCTAAGTGTTCCTCAACTGATGAATGGATCAAGAAGATGTGGTCTATATATACAATGGAATACTACATGGCAATGAGGAAGAATGAAATCTGGCCATTTGTAGTAACGTGGATGGAACTTGAGGGTGTTATGCTGAGCGAAATAAGTCAGGCAGAGGACAGATACCATGTTTTCACTCGTAAGTGGAACAGGAGAAACTTAACAGAGGACCGTGGGGGAGGGGAAGGGGAAAAACAGTTGGAGAGAGGAAGGGAGGCAAATCATGAGAGACTCTTGAATACTGAAAAGAAACTGAGGGCTGATGGGGGTAGGCGAAAGCGGAAGGGGGGTGATGGGCATGGAGGAGGGCACTCGTTGGGATGAGCACTGGGTGTTATATGGAAACGAACTTGACGATAAACTATAAAAGAAAAACAAATAGAAGATATTTTGGAGCTTTCTGTGAGCTGAAGCCCAGCTAGACCCAGCTAGACCCAGCTAGAAGTTCCTGAAAGATACTTCAACCAAGGGTTTCTGCCAAGGCTACTTCCTTTGCTTTGGAGTCCTTGTGGACATCACAGAGGGTGCAGTTGCTGCCCCCTACCCAGAGCTCCTCCTGACCAGTGTGCCCATCCTTCAGTTGCTGCAAAGGTATAGGCCATTAGCAGTCTACATCTGCAGCTTCCTCCTCCATGGTTTTCGGTGGGTAAGTGCAGCCATGCATAGAGTGCAGCCAGGCATAGGTTGCCTCGTTGCCAACCTCCTTTCTCAGGGGCAGCAGAATCCGAGGATTTAATGATGTGAGTATGCAGGGGGATGACGAGCAGATGCAATTCACTCTGCAGAGACTGGGATCAGACAGAGGATGGTAGACTCCAGAACCCTTATATCTTTGCTTAGCCTTGCCCTCTGCCCCAGCCTAGCCCTACATTGTATGGCATTTTCCAAGAGCACTCCCTCAATAAATCACAGGCACAAAACCTGTCTCAGACACTGCTTCAGAGGAAGTGGACCCAAGACGGATAGCATTTTTCAACTGCATGCATCCAACATGAATACCTAAAACACCGAATCACTGTAAATTGGAGACATTAAAGGCATCTTCAAGCCCACCAATGGCAAGCCACAGCAAGGTAGTCACCCAGCGTGAGCTCACACCGTTCCCCTGCAAAGCTGCTCCACGTTCTATCTGACCTATATACGCACTGATGCAGCCAGTGATTCCACCTCTGTGGAGTTTGTTGAAGTCTCCAAAGTGCTTGGAGAGTGCTGCCTATACTTCTTCACTGCCCCCAGTATCTTAAAGTCCAGACCTGCCCAACCACTGTACAAAGGGAGTATTAATGGCCAAGAGGTGGGCTTCGGAGCCAGAATTTCAGGGCTTGAATATCAACTCTGCCACAAATTAACTGGGTGATGTTGGGAGGGTTATGTAAACCTCTTTGTTTCAGTTTTCTCTGCTGTAAGATGGGTGTGCTATGAATATGTATCTCATGCAGTTGCTGGGAAGATAAAATGTAATAAACATAAATTGTTTTAAATTGGTGCCTGGGCACACAGAAGGCACTGCATAAATAGTCGCTGTTACTCAGAGTTGCAGAGTCTGCGAACGTGAGTCAGGGCATGTTGTGTGCCTGGCACGGCTCTAGGGGTTCTCACGATGATGTCCCTGTTCAGAAAGAAGGCAATTGAGGCACAGAGATTCAGTGACCACGCCCAGTGGCACCTGGACAGTCTGCTCAACTGAAATGAGGCGGCAAGTTCAGGGCTCCTGAGACAGAGCCTCTCCCTGATTCCGATACCCCAGCTCTGGCTGGGGGCCCTGGTCACGAAGAGCAAGGGGCCAGCCTTCCTAGAGCAGGGAAGTGAGCCACCCCAGAGGTCGGGTGCAAGCGCGGCGTTTTCCGGTCTCCGGGAGCCTGCGTTCTCACTTTCCCCTGTTTCTCCGGAGTAGCCTGGGGTCTAACGGCCAGGGCTGAGTCCCTGGACCTGTGTGTGTAGCCTGGAGCCTACAGTAAAGACATGCGACCCGCAGCACCTCCACTACCATTTTGTCGTCATTCCCGAAAAGGATGAGTCCCGCCTTGGTGACTGTCCCCGGCCGATGGGCTCCTGGGATGGGCAGAGCTTCCCCCTCAGGCACCAGGCTCACAGTGTTCAGCGTTGAGTTGAAGAACGTCAGCTTCTGTGGGGGGCAGGAAAACCAGAAGGTGGTACATGAAAGAGGCGCCCACCGCTGGCAGCCCAGGCAGTGTTGAACAGGGCACTAAAGGGATGAAAGGGGGCTGGGCAGCCACGACACAAGAACTGCAACCCCTAGGACCCTGCCTCCAGGGGCACGAACTAGACCTGTAAGAGCCTCCGAGTCCTCAGGGAGCCCTCAGGGCCCGCGTGCCCCTAAGAACCTATGCGTTGGCCCCTGGCCTCAGACCTCAGGCGGACAGATACTAGAAAGTCTGCTCAAGGCCTCACAGAGTGCCCTGGGGATGCCACCAGGCACTGGTCACTTTGCAAAGACTCTCGTGGGGATGGAGGCAGCAGAGGGACTCATGGATGGAGTCTAGGCGTTGGTCAGCAGTCAGGGGTTTGGACACTCTGAGGCTTTGTGGAGGACAGGACTGCCCTCCATGGTAACCTGATTGAGGTTCCCATTGACAATCCTGCCAAATCTCAATACCTCTCGAGAGCCTGTGAGCCCCAGGGCTCACCATCTGCAGCACCCGGACTGCCCGCCGCCCAGGCCCCAGCCTGAGCGTGCGGCCCCGCCCCCCTGGGGCCGAGTCAGAGTCAGAGCTGGACTTGGGATCGCTCCAAGCCCATGAGTGGGAGTCAAAATATTTTTCAACCAACACAGCTTGAACCCAGAGTTGTTGCAGGGGTCCAGAGGCCTTTAGCTGTGCTGGAACTTTCTTCTCCAGCCACCAGATGTGGACAGGTCTCGTGGTCCTAGGGGAGGGGCTGAGATGACTGGGGGCACTTGAGTGGGGTCGGGGGTCAGGAAAGTGGCTTTTTGCCAGCCAGTTCAGACATATTTTGATAGCCAGCAGGGCGCATGGGTGCATCCAGCCCAATCCCAGCCAAGTACGAACACACCTGCCCACAGGCCTCTGTCCAGGCGCCCGGCACCTTGTCGTTCCCTCGGATCCAGTTATGAATTGCCTCTGCTGGCTGGTCCCAGTTGATCTGTTGGGCAGGACAAGTGTGCTCAGCCGGTCTCTTCCCCACTCCTTGGCTATCCAGACAACATGTCTGTTCTCTCCTTCCCTTCCCCACCACCCTCTTCCTCCCCGCCACTCTACAACACTCCCCACCGCTCCTGTGCCCTGATGAACTCTGACTGAGTGGAGCCCTGGGGAATCTGGCTTCCTGTTGGGCACTGGTCTGAGTCCCTGAGCTGGGATGGGCCTCTCCCTGGTACCCCAGCTCTGGATGCTCTCTGATCCCAGTCTTTCACTGGTTGTGTCAACTTTCGGAGGATGGTTGGAGAAGATAACACTCTGGGAAGGTGGCCAAGGCCTGACACAGACTCCCCAGCAGAGTGCAGGGCCATCACACAGACACCCCCCCACCCCGACAGCTTTTCCTCACTTGCAGGGCTCACATAGACCCCTATGTACCCCATAAGCCCTGGGCAGAGGTACAGCCTAAAGGCCCCCCTACGCCCAAAGCTGCAATAGATCTGAGAAACTGAATTACGTCTCAGACCTCATCTTAGAGACTGCCGGCACTATGACTGATGTTTTACACACCGCCCCACTTCAGCTCTTCTCTCTGGAGACGCTGCCAGTCCATTCTTCCTAAAGGGGAACAGAGAAGAACCCAGAACGGACCTTGCTGTCTGCCTGTCCAGGTGCCACATGAGCTTTGCTCATGCTTCTCCTGCATGGGCTGCTCCCCCTTCAGGCCTTAAACAACTATAGCTTGGCCAGTCAGCCTAAATCCCAGCTTCCTTGGGACACTCTCTGTACCCCAACCATGCACGGACAGGCTTTGGGGCGTGCAGGGCTCTGCACTCACCTTGGCTGTTTCCTTCTTCTGAATGCCCTCATAGGTGGCTCCTTCCTCTGGCTGGGGGAGTCTGGGAGCATTGCCTTTGGCGATCAGCCTCACAGCCTGCACCTGGGGAGGTCAGGCCAGTTGGCATTGCCAGCATTACATTCCCTCCCTCACTCCCAGGCCCTGGGTTAACTATGAGCCTGGACTCAGCCCCACACTGGCCGGACTTGCCTGGCTCCATGCCAGGTACACAATGAGCACCCAAGGAATATCCCTCCTAGGAATGGGTACAGTTAGTCTGAATCTAATTCCAATCTGAAGGATGATTACAAAACCCTGCCGTCTCTACCAAACAGGGTTTTAGAAGAATCCACAGAAGATCTTATAACTTCTGAGAACTTAGATTATAGAAACTACAAAGCCCTATATAGAAACACAAATTCCCATGTTTTCATCTAAAACCTTCCCTGTCTTTTAAGGGGAACGGACCCTGAGCTCCAAGATGTGTTTGGAGGTCTGAGATGAAGCAGGAAGCAGTTCTTCTGTTAAGGAAAAGAAAAGACTGTGGAAGAAGGAATCAGGGAAGTGAGCAGGAGAGACAAGGAGCCTGGGCCCGTCCTGAGGAGGTCCTGCGGGGAACCCCAGAGATACCCAAACCAAGAACCGATGAGAATGTCAGAAACATCTAAAGCAGGACTGCCCGGAAGAACGTTCGGCATGAGGGACATATTCTATATCAGAACTGTCCAATACAGTGGCCATCAGCCAGTGTTGCGCCTGCACTGGGGACTGAAAGGTAGCTATTGGGACAGAGGACCTCAGTTTTTAACTAGAATTCAATTTAATTTAATAACCGCATGTGACTAGCAGCTATCATATTGGACGGCACAGCTCTAAAGAACTCAGCTCTAAACAACTAAAGTTGTTTCCTGTGGGATGTCCCAGATAAGCCCCTTCTCCATCTCTCATATCAAATCTCCAGCAAGTCTACTTTGCTCACTATTTTTGTAAGCAGAGGGGTCCACGGGAGAGAATACAAGAGTCCTCTTGTTTGACATACATGAAAAATAAACGTTGGCTGACATCCAGGCTGCAGTGAGCACACTCACGTCACTGCTCTGTGTATCGCTACTTGCAAACAGGGAATGTTCTCCTCTCGGAGACGGCCTCCTCTCTGACTCCTGTCTGCTTCTGGAACCAACCAGAAGTTCACACATGTCTGCCTCTTGGCCAACCCCGGCTGGCCCGGCTCCGCCGCCCGCAGCTCCACAGACACATCAGTCCCTAAGGGGTCAGGTCCCATGGGGTCTACCTGCTGTGCCCACCACGACTGTGTCTGCCATCAGTCACTCTTGTCTTCTGTCTTGCTCTGATAACAGAACCTTCTCTCCTGCAGACAACTTAGCCCGTATGACTACAGTTGGGCTTCTCTTATGTTGCACTCATGAATTCTGTGAGAAAAAGGGTTTTTGTCCTTTTGGAATCCAGAGGTAAAAGCCTTGAGCCACCAGTGCCTATCTTTCCTCTCATGTGAGGGCAGCCCATCTGACGATGAAGCTCATCAAAGAGAGAGAAGCAATATCCGTAGGAAAACAGAGATACAGAATCCTAAGACATGGCTTCTACCTCTCAACTCAGTCATGCTTAACGTCATCCCTGTCTTGAGTCTTCTACAGTAAATGGGCCGAAAATGTTCCCTCTGTGGATACAGCTTTTTTAACTGGGTTCTATCAGTTGTGAGCAAGCGTCTTGCCTAACAACAATACATTGCATGTCTTCATCCTGCCTCTTTGAGAGCTCTCTCCTTCCAGAATCCTGGAACTGAGGGGAAGAGCCTGGGGTGGGGCGGAGGGGGGAACAGGGTGGGTCTAGAAAGGATACCAGGATAGGGGGGCCCACGTGTGGCCTGGCCACCTGCCAGCCCTTACCATCCCTTTGATGCCTTCAGGGAAGAGGAAGCGGTTGTACAGGGTGCTCACGGTGTCATCCGGGAGGATCTCACACTCCTTCTGGAGAAGAAGGTCCCCAGTGTCCAGTCCGTCATCTGCCCAGAAGATGGTAAAGCCCCCTTTCTTGTCTCCATGAATGAGGGTCCTAGGGAGCACACGTGTGACAGCCTGAGTCCAGGAGGAAGGACCAGGGAGAAGGACAAGCCAGGGGCAGCCGCTGTGGCCCCTGTCACCCTTCAACAACCCCTCCTGGCCTTGGGCCCGGGAAGATTGATACCTGCTCTGGCAAGAGCTGGGAGGAGAAGGTATTTACTGACACCAACCCCACGCTAGGTGTTGTGGTAAAAGCCCTATATGCTTGATGTCACATAATACCCCAACAGGGGCCACAGGCATTGGGTGTCCCTTTTACAGATAAGGAAACTGAGGCCCGAGAAGTGAAGAGATGTAACCAGAGGTCAGAGAGCCTGAATCTCAGTCTGGCTACAAACCCACCATCTTCCCAGCTCAGATGCCCCCCCCCTTGCTGATCACCCGGTAAACTGCGCCCTCAGTCACATCGTTCCGTTTGTCTCCTTAGCACTTACACGTCAAACCATCTTGTTCAGGCGACCCTTTACTCCACCTCTATCCCTTTCCAAGTAGGATGCTGGCAGTGGGTGTGGGTTCAAGCAGGCCTCTGGCCACACTGCCTGGGTTGGAACCCGTGCGCAGGTCCCTTAACCCCATCTGTGCCGCTGACCCTGCCTGCAGGATGGGGCCACTGATGTGCATACTTCACGGTTTACTGTGGGAGCCCAGAGCACTTAGCCAGGTCTGCCCCCGAGCCTCTCTGGCACTGTTGGTGCTACTGAGAACCCCTCACCAGCCGGCCGTTGTGGATGCCATCTGGCAGCACAGGGCGGGCCCCTGCATGATGCCGGCCGGTTCTGCGGCCCCGGAGCAGAGCTGTGGGCTAGGGGAGGATGACTTCCTGGCAGATGGGGGTGTTTTCGCCTTGTCTCACCAGTTGATGGCCGAGGCCCCTCGGTGCCGGGGGAGCAGACTTGGGTGGTAGATGATGGAGCCGTGGCGGGGGGCACTGATGACCTCCATGGGGATGAACTGGCTGCAGAAGGGCAGGACGTTGAGCTCGGCACCCAAAGCTTGGTATTTCGCCACCACATCGGGCAGAGCCTGTCCTTTCACCCGCCAGCGGGGGAACTTGAACACTGGCACTCCATCCTTCTCGGCCTCCAGGCCTGTGAGACAGCAGGTGAGAAGCCGGCTCCTCCCCGCACCCATCCACCCACAGCCGCCACTGCCTTCCCAGCAAAGTGACTCCTGCATCTTCTTTCCCAGCCTGTCCGTCCCCACTGCCCAGCGGGGCTCCCTGGTCAGCACGGAGGGAACAGACCGAGGGGACAGCACTGGCCACGGGCAAGCGGCTGCTCTGCCTGGATTGACTTCTGCCGACCACCAAGGCACGTGAGCTCCCCGCTCTCCCAGACTCCTGTCTGACCCCTGGAGGCCGAGCCCTTCTCCTCACCCCTCCCGCAGGCTCACCATGCTGTCCCCAAGCTACTGTCCTCTGCCATTCTACCACTTTGCGGGATGGCAGCCGGGGTCCTACTAATTGTGTCCCTGCTTCGTCAGCTGCTGCCAATAAGGGGTGAGGGAGGGACAGTACAAGGCTGAGGAGAAGGGGAAAGGGAGAGAGGTAGGGTTTGCCCCTTTCCCTCGGGTTTTTGTCCTGAGAGCCCCACCCAGCTCTGCCACCTCGCTTCTTAACTTCAGCGGCAGCAGCGCCTTCCCAGAGGAGCAGCTGGATTAGTTTGCTGTTTTCCCAACATCTGCAGAATTAACTCCAATGTACACCTTCCTCCCACCATGTCTGCCCTCTGAGGTCTGGGTCTCAGCTTGCAAGCACCCCCGCTCCCACCAGCACCTAGGAGCACCTCAGGGGTCTGAATTCCAGCCCCAAGCTGCTGAGATTTAGGAGAGACAGCGTCCCTCTACTTCCCCAGCCTGAGAGGCGGCGGCTGCCACCTGCATCCACTGCCCTGCTAGCTTGGTGTTCTCTTTCGCCTGCCCGCCTTCAGCACGTAATGAACACATCGCCATCCTGGGTTCTCTGTGAGAACACCCAGCATCATAACTGGTCCCCAACTGGACGTGACCCACTCTCTAGCCCCCTCTGCCTCTGCCCTGCGTTTGGGGTTGCTGAAGGAAGGTGGGATCAAAGTGAGCCACTGGAGCCTTCTGTCCACACTATGATCAAAGGAACACTTCTGCAAGACATCCAAGGTCAGGGTCGAGTAGCAGCCCCACCCAGGCTCCAACTGCGTCCAGGCTCAGAGACTGGTATCAACGGTCACTTAGTGGCTGGTGCCAGGGCTCCGTTGGTGGTGAGCTGAGGCTGTATCACAGGTCACACTGGGATCAAGTCAAAGACTGAGCACTGGCAGCGCCAGGATGGTGCTGGAGCTGGGTCCAGGGGTCAGCCTGTGCTTTTCAGTCTAGACAGAGTATTCCTAGGATAGGCCAGTCCCTGTGCCTGGCCAGCTCCACAAGGCTCCTTTCCCAATCTAGCCTTCCGTTTTTAAGCCACACTTTATATTCTGCATGCATCTGGCCTGAGGACTTGTGAATGTCCCTGGAGGGTCTTTTCATCTGAGCTGAGGCCCCCCAGAATTCTGCTGTGCTGCGGATGTTCCCAGCCCAAAGGCTAGTGATTCTCAGCCTGTGCTCCTCCAAGAGCCACAGGCTCAGTGTCACCTGGGAACTTGTTAGAAACGCAGATTCTCAGACCCCGGCTATCTCTCTAAGTAGAAACCCCCAGGGCAGGGCTCAGCACTGGGCACAACAGGCACTCCCAGGGATGGGGATACAGTGCACATTCATATTTGAGAACACTGACCTGCGGTGTCTCATACCCGGCAGCCCTTTCAGAGCCTAGTGCTGGGGTCAGGTGGGGAAGGGGTCTCTACTTTGTTCCAGAAAATCCTAGCAGCCAGTTGGTGCCTGAGCAGGATTCAAGGTGGACCGTGTACAGCTGCCTGCAGCCAGGTATGCCCACAAATAACACAAGACCCTGCAGCCTTCTGCTCCCACCCACCACCCACTGCTACCTGCCTGCCTGGGCACCCCTTGCCCTGCTCCAGGGCCAGCCACTCACCCAGGGGATCTGCCTTCCCATCCTTGTCTGGAACAGTGAACACGCCCACAATCTCATGGCCCTCCTTCCTCAGCTGACGGTAAACTTCCTGGCCGAACAGGCTCTGCCCAATCACTGCGATCTTCATGGCAGCAGGGACGGGTCAGCAGGATCTGGGGATGGAGTCAGACTGCAGCATTAGACAGGGCTCACTGGCCTCGGAGAGCCAACCCTAGTCCAAGTGGGCAGTTGCATCGCGCCTTGGCCACCCTGCCCTCCTCAACCACTTGGGGTTACCTCTGGGCTCCCTGGGTATCAGGGCTCTGCAGGGAGCCGCTACTGTGAAAGGCATCAGAGGAGAAAGTTCTGCTAACGGAGGGATTTTAGATGCCTCGGTGGGTGAGTTGCGTGGAGACTGACGAATTAGAGATTCTTCTTGAAACTTCCCAAGTTGGCATGGAACACTGAGAGTTAAGTCCTCTGAGATATATTTTTTAAATTGTTTAAATGTTTATTCTTTTTTTTTTTTTTTTTTTTTTTGAGAGTGAGAGAGTGAGCAGGGGCGGGGAGGAGAGAGAGGGAGACAGAATCAGAAGCAGGCTCCAGGTTCTGAGCTGTCAGCACAGAGCCAGACGTGGGGCTCGAACCCACAAACTGTAAGATCATGACCTGAGCTGAAGTCAGACGCTTAACCGACTGAGCCCCCCAGAGCTCCTGAACAAAGGTTCTTAAACATCACATAGTACACTTTATCAAAATTCCCCTTTATGGTTAGCGGGTTTGTATCCTATTTAAGAAATTGTTGCCTACTGCCAGGTCATGAAGTTCTCTCTGTCTTCTAAAATCTTTCGTGGGGCGCCTGAGTGGCTCAGTTGGCTGAGCGTCCAACTTTGGCTCAGGTCACGATCTCACAGTTTGTGAGTTCCAGCCCCATGTTGGGCTTTGTGCTGACACCTTAGAGCCTGGAGCCTCCTTCAGATTCTGTGTCTCCTCCCGTGCTCATGCTCTGTTTCTGTCTCTCAATAATAAAAACGTTAAGAAAATTTTTAATAAAATAAAATAAGATCTTTATTGTTTGACAAAGGGGCAAAGTCTATTCAGTGGAGGAAAGACAGCTTTTCAACAAATGTTGCTGGCAGAACTGCATATCCACATGCAAAACCGTGAATCGAGGCACAGACCTTACACCCTTTTCATATATTAACTCAAAATACATCACAGACCTGAATGTGAAATGCAAAATTATGACTCCTAGAAGGTAACACAGGAGAAAATTTCAAGAGCTTGGGCACGCCGTGAATCTTAGATACTACATTAAAGGCACGATTTGTGAAGAAAAAAACGGATGAACTCTCACACATTAGTGATGGAATGCAAAATGACACGGTCACCGTGGACGACATTTTGGCAGTTTCTCACCAAACTAAACTTATTGTTACCATAGGCTCTAACTAGCACTCTCTGGTCTTTACAAAAGAAGTTGTAAACTTACACATACACAAAAACCTGCACACGGTATGTATGATGACTTTATTCATGATTACCAAAACTTGGAAGCAACCAAGGTGTCTTCCAGTAGGTGAGTGGATTGATAAACTGTGGGACATTCAGACAATGGGACTGAAAAGAAATACGCCATCAAGGCATGAAAAGACATAGAGGAAGCTTAAATGCATATTACCCAATGAAAAAAACCCACTCTTAAAAGGCAATTCCTTCTAGAATTGACTCTTGCGGATAGCATGAAGTGGAAGTCCAGAGATATTTTTCCAGTATCATATATGAATACATCTATCTCTGGGCCTGTTTTCTGTTCCATTGTCTGTTTGTCTGTCTTTGTGTCTATTGTAGGTTAAAACGTTTTGTAATAATGGTAAAAAAAATATGTAATATAGAACTTGCCATTTTAAGAATTTCTAGATGTGTAGTTCAGAAACATTTTACACTCACAGTATCGTGTGAGTAGCAAACTATTTCAGCACCCCAAACTCTATGTTCATTAAGCAGTAACTTTCCATCCCCCCCCCCCCACCAGTAGCCCTGTTAGCCTTTAATCTACTTTCTGTCTCTATAAATTTGTCTATACATGGCATCACATACAAGTGAAATCATACAGTATTTGTCCTTTTGTATCTGGCTTATTCCACTTAGCATAATGTCTTCAAGGTTTAAGCATATTGTAGCATGGGTCAGAATTGTATTCCTTTCTTTGAAGGAATTTTATCTGTGTGTGTGCGCGTGCATGCTTGTCTGCACACATCCAATCATCTGCTGAGGCGCACTGGGCTGTTTCTCTACTTTGGCTACAGTGAATAACTCTCCATTGAACATTGGCACACAATTATCTGTTTGAAATCCTGTTTCATGAAATAATTAAAAATGGAGAGGGGTCCTCGGTGGCTCAGTCGGTTAAGCATTTAACTTCAGCTCAGATCATTTAACATGATCTCGCAGTTAGTGGGTTCAAGGCCCACATCGGGCTCTGTGCTGACAGCTCAGAGCCTGTGTCAGATTCTGTGTCTCCCTCTCTCTGCTCCTGCCCTGCTCGCACTCTGTCTCTCTCTCAAAAATAAACAAACATTTAAAAACTTATAAATAAATAAATAAATAAATAAATAAATAAATAAATAAAATGGAGAAAAGACTTGAATGGACATTTCTCCAATGAAGATATACAAATGGTCAATAAACACATAAAAAGATATTCAACCATATAAGTCAATAGGAAATGCCAGTCAATACTATGATGAAATACCACTTCACATCTACTTTTGGGTCATCTATAATTTTTTTTAGTAAAGGAAAACAAGTGTTGAAAGAGATGTGGAAAATTAGGACTATTATACATTGCTGCCATCATTGTGGCAAAGATTGGAGGTCCTGAAAAATCTAAATATAAAATTATACTCCTCAGCAATTCCACTACTAGGTACATTATACAATTGGGTTGTCTTTTTGTTGTCAGGTTGTAAGAATTCTGTATACATTTTGAAAATTAATGCCCTATTACATATATAATTTGGAAGTATTCTCTCCCATTCTGAAAATAATCTTTACACTTTTGCACTTTTTAGTGTCCTTTGCTGCACAGGCTTTAGTTTTGATCAAATCTAATCTATCTCTCTTTTGCTGTTTTTGATATCGATCTAAAATTCCAAAGCCAAATACAACATCATGAAAATTTACACCTGTCTTTTCTTGTAAGAGATTTATGGTTTGAGCTGTTACATTTAGGTAACCAATTTTAAGTTAGTTTCTGTACGTGTTTTATTTTGGGGTCTCACTTCATTCTTTTTCATGTGGAAATTCAGTTGTCCCAGCAGTATTTATTGAAGACACTAATCTTATCCCATTTAGTGGATTTGTTAAAAACCAACTGGCCAGACATATTTCTGGACTCCCAATTCTATCCCTTGATCTACATTTCTGTCTTTATTGCCAGCATCACGCTCTTTTGATCACTGTAGTTTTGTAGTAAATTTCAAAATCAGAAAATGAGTTCTCCAAAGGTATTCTATTTTAAGATTGTTTTGACTCTTTAGGGCCTCTTGCAATTACAGTTTTAGGATCGGTTTTTCTATTTCTGCATAAGGGACTCTTGAAATTTGGATATGGATTATGTCAAATATGTAGATCACTTTGGGTAGTACTGTCGGCACATTAAAGCTCCCTATCCATGAACACAGTGTGCTTAGGTCTTGTCTAGTTCCTTTCAATAATGTTTTTATAATTTTCATTTACAAGATTTTCACTTTAAACTGATTTCTAGATATTTCCTACATTTTAAAAAGTTTTTATTGGGGCGCCTGGGTGGCTCATTCGGGTAAGCGGTCCGACTTCGGCTCAGGTCGTGAGCTCACGGTTTGTGGGTTCAAGTCCCACATTGGGCTCTGTGCTGACAGCTCAGAGCCTGGAGCCTGCTTCAGATTCTGTATCTCCCTCTCTCTCGGACCCTCCCCTGATCACAGTCTCTCTCTCTCTCTCTCTTTCCCTCTCTCTCTCTCTCTCAGAAATAAATAAAATATTTAAAAAAATTTTTAAGTGTTTAATTAAAGTCTGGTTCCTGGGTGCCAGGGTAGCTCAGTCATTAAGCATCTGACTTTGGTTCAGGTCATGATCACACAGTTCATAAGTCACTAAAAATGAGCTCAAGCCCCACTTTGGGCGAGCACAAGCCCTGCTTTGGGTGAACACAAGCCCCACTTTGGGTAAAACATGAGCCCCCACTTTAGGTGAGTCCCGCCTCTCTCTCTGTCTCTCTTTCTCTCTCTGCCCCTCCTCACTTGCACCCTCTCTCTCACTCTCCCAATAAATAAATAAACAAATAAATTCCAGTTAGTTATCATACAACATAAAAGCACTTCCATACAACACCCAGTGCTCATCACCACAAGCGTGCCCTCTAATCCCCATCACCTATTTCACACATCTCGCCAACCACTGTCTTTCTGGTAACCATCACTGTTCTACATAGTTAAGAGTCTGTTGGTTTGCCTCTCTTTTTCTTCTCTTATGTTCATTTGGTTTGTTTCTTAAATTTTACATATGAGTGAAATCAAATGGTACTGACCTATTTCACTTAGCATAATACTCTCTAGCTCTAAGCAGGTCATTGCAAGTGGCAAAATTCCATTCTATTTTATGGCTGAGTAATATTCCAGTGTGTGTGTGTGTGTGTGTGTGTGTGTGTGTGTGTGTGTGTCTGTCTGTGTACGCACAGATATATACCACATCTTCTTTAACCATTCATCAGTCAATGGACATTCGGGCAGCTTTCATAATTTGGCTATTGTTGATAATGCTGCTATAAACATCATGGTGTACATATCCCTTTGAGTTTTCTACTCTGTTCCATTGATCTATGTGTCTATTTTTGTACCAGCCCCATACTGTCTTGATCACTACAACTTTGTAATATAAGTTGAAGCCTGGAATTATGATGCCTCCAGCTTTCCCCTCTTCTTCAAGGCTGCTTTAGCTATTTGGGGTCTTTTGTTGTCTATACAAATTTTTGAATTGTTTGTTCTATCTCCATGAAAAATACTGATGGTATTTTGATAAAGGTTGCATTAAATGTGTAGATTGCTTTGGGGAGTATAGATATTTTAACAATATTCTTTCTTCCAATTCATGAGCATGGAATGTCTTTCCATTTCTAAAGTTTTTTAATGTT